CTAGGCGGCGATTAGCGATTGTTCTGTACGAACGTACCGTCCTCAAACGAATCTCCAAGGCTTTATCTGCTTATGCCTGATCCTAAAGTGGCATCTCAGACTCCTGTGACGAGGCCAATTATGCAGTTCTCCCTTTACCGATCTGATTTATGAAATATGCTCACTTCGTTATGGCCTGGTGCTCCAACCTAAATCCCTCGCAGGCAGTCGCATGGAGACATGCAATCAAAAGCAGAGACGCAAACAAGGACGGATGAGACTCGAATAGCTATTTCTGACTTATCGGTCAGTTATACTGCAATCCCAGGATGTGAACCTACAATAATTCAAAAGAAGACTAGGAAATCCCAGAAATTGCTATCTCAGTATTACAAACGAAATTCCTGTTCAGCTGATCTCGACATTTGAGCTGCATTTCAATAGGGTCTTGGCATATTTTTCTCTTGAAAGGCTTCGCTTGCAGTAGAGTAGTTGATGGATTCGTTACCAGGCCTCGAGAGAGCGCACAAAGTATCCACAAAAAGATCGCTATCATAACACATAAGGTAGACGACTAAAATTACATTACATTACATTTGCTACTGATTCATTTCGAGATGCAAAGAAAAATAACATCTATATGCATAACAGAAAATAGTCTTTCAAAAGAAATGACGAATAGTGTAACTTGAGCTTCCTGATCGTGCGAATTTGTGCTTCTACAATTTTCATCGTTCAATATAACTACCGCTTACCATCCATGCACACCAAAAATCATACTGGCTTGCATCACGCTCAAAGCACAAAAATAGATGTGCGATTATATTTGTTTCATACAAGTAATTGAAAGAAAGAAGGATAAATGGCCAGTGTAGTTTCGAAAAAAAAGAAATGTGATGATAATATACGAAAAAGCAAACTAAAAAAAGCAATTTACCGTTAGAGATGTACCGAAACGCAGGTTAATCAGTCGAGGCCATAACTGTTTGCGAATTGGATGGCTAACAGGGATGATGCACATACGAGCAAACTTCTTCAGCTGCGAACCGGACTCGAGCCACTTGCGTTCCACAACTTCAAGTGGAATCAAATGCATTTTTTTGCGGGCCTCGAGACACTGGGCGACTTTTTCTTCAGAAACGGCGTCGGTAAACGGGCTTTTAGCGAAAAGAATAACATGGGTGGTGAAAGGTTGGTGACAAAAGGCAACACAGACAGTGCACGTAGAGCATTGGACTTAATTTCTGGACGAAGCTAATTTAATCAGAGCGACGTTTTGATAGGATTTTAAGGCAAACCACTCCTTGTCGGAGGAATGACACTTGCAAAGAACACTTCACATCGTTTTAAATTTTATAAACTTAAGCATTCTTTAAAGCATACCTGACGTCCTGAGTTTTGTTCCGGTAAACAAAGGGTGTGTCTATAAAGCAGTTCGAAATGATGCCTCCATCAACAAGAATGATCGAAACCCATTTGGAGATAAGTACAGCCATTTGATGGGAAACTTAACAGTCACACAAAAGTTGTCGGCAAAAAAGAAAATGTCCCTCAACTGTTAATACGACTGGCTTTGGGGATATTCATGCTAAATTTAGTTGTTTGTTGCGAACCAGGAAGACGGGTTGCCTGTTAGCTTATCTGCTGACTA